ATTATTAGTCCACATAAACTCCCAGTTTCATTAATAACGTTGAGGCTATAACACTATGAACTAACGTGCTCCATGGAGAAAGCCTGCTGTGGACTGCCAAAATTTTCTCTGTATGTTAGGGACAGAGAGCCTGCAGTTCTGCATGTTTGGTGCCGTATTTACATTACGTACATGAGTCTAATGCTGGGCAACAATCTCAGAAGTCATATACAATATGGTTATGTCGTCCTTTGTTAACTTGAACTTCGTTCATAAGCATTACCATCGAAAAAAAAGGAAGGAAAGAAACAGAACAGAAAAAAGGAAGAGATCAAAATCACAAACACCATCTTTCCGATTTCTCTAAAAGATGATTTTATTTTATTTTATATTTTTGATTTTTTCTTTTGATAAGCAGAAAAGAAAAGCTGAATTGTGGGAGTAGAAAATGGTGGTTCCTTGCTTTCATGTATGATTAATTGTTTCTTTTTTTATTTCTAGTTTGACTGTCATAAAACAGGCTGAAAGCAGCCAAGGTTTAGTTGGGGAGTACCCCGTTTTGTTGATACTCCTTTGACAAACTTGTTTGGATTCTTATGCAGAACCTTTCACAGTTTTACTACACCTAGGTTCGGAAGAAAATGCACGTTTCCTCCCCACACAAGACACGTATGCATGTGAGGTGGAATAAGTCGTAAACTGTGAGAAATGGTCGAATGGAACCTTCATTGCCTACATTTAAAGACAAATTAAACAAACTGGATCATAGTGGAGATCTACATTACAAATGTCAATTAAAAAAATAACTTGTATCGTTATTGAATTGATTACACAGCCACTCATCATAAAACAACTTAATCAAATTTCAAGGGTCAGTTTGATTTGTGGTCAGAATCGGAATTGGAATTATTATTGCTTATTCCCTCCATCTTTTTGATTCATAAGATATCAAACCATTCCAATTCTAGACTTCTATCCCATGAACCAAACGAACCCTAAATAAATAAATAATAAAATTTGATAAGAAATAGAACGATCAGTAACATATACCGTCTGTCTCGGTTTCTATGCTTGTTCCCTTGATTCACCGGAGCTAGGATTAATTCCTCCTTGCATTAATGAAGCTGTTACCTGTGCCAGGGCTAGGGCCAGAGTTCTTAATTCCTCCCAGAGTTTGGGCATTTGTGAAGCTGTGACCACCTCCACCATCAGGGCTAGGACCAGAGTTCTTTATGCCTCCAAGGGTTTGAACGTTGATGAATTTGCGATGACCTACACCAGGGCTAGGACTACTACTGGAGATCTTCATACCACCGAGAGTTTGAGAGTTGGTGAACTTGTTACCTGTACCAGGGCTAGGGCCAGAATTCTTGATGGCTCCCAGAGACAATGTGTCTGTGAATCCCTCGATGGACTGATCAGTACCGGTGGTGAAACTAACTGATTTAATCAACATATTAAAAGGTCGACCCTCTGTTGTAAAGAATAGGGTAGAGCTCAGCAGCAGAAGGAGAGGAAAGAATTGGAGCGCTCTAGCCATGATGTGTTTAAACTTTAACTAAGGATCTCTTAGCTCTTCAAGTATATTTGGCTGTAACTTGAAAGCTTGTTGGATATTCAATTCGATGTGTGAGCATGCATGTACCCATTTATATAGGTATGTTATTAATTTGACTAGAGCACCGAGCGCAGTCCTCTGTTCAAAAAACGTGAGGTGAGAGTAGAGTCATAGCCACCTCTGCTTCATTTAAGGAACCATCGTAGGGGCTTCTTGCTTTTTTAATTTGATCAAAGAAGAATCAAATACTTGAACTTCGGGAAATGCGAGAATAGAGTCCAAATTGGAAGGTTTTTGGCAGAAAAGAGGAGAGCCCAGATGGAGAGAGAGAGACGTAATGAAAGAATATTCCTACTGAGTGGGGGCAGGCATTCAACACAACAGAAGAGCCAACCATGCAAAATACCAATTCGAAATTTCCCAACTTGTTATTCTCTTTGACCAGGCCTCTGTTTCCGCTTCGATATTTGTGTCGTCTGTAGTATTTTAATATTAATTTTTAAGGATGAGTCTGTCTTCAAACATTCAAACCGAGCGAGAGATAATTAAGAATTCGCTCGGCGCGGCTTCCCGCTTCCGTTCTTTCCCACGTCTGTCTGAAGCTACGATCTTTACCACGTCTGGGACCAGAATCCTTAATTCCAGCAAGAGTTTGATCATTGCTAAAACCATGACCTGCACCAGGGCTTGGACCGGAGTTCTTGATGCCACCGAGGGTTTGAGAATTGGTGAAACTGTGGCCTGCACCAGGACTTGGACCGGAATCCTTGATGTTTCCTAGGGTTTGAGAACCCATGAATTTGTGACCACCTCCGCCAGGGCTAGGACCAGAGATCTTAATCGTTCCTAGTGTTTGTATATTGGTGAAGCTGTGACCTTCACCAGGGCTTGGGCCAGCAGTGGCAGAGCTAGGATTTTTTATTGAGGGAGTCAAAAGTTAGAAAATATGGATAAGGGGGCGGGTTAAAAGTTAGGAAACATGAGTAAAGGAGCTAAATTACAAGTGAAAAATAAATTTAAAGGGAATTTTGAAGACATAAGGGGGGCCATGACTCCCTTCCCCCACCCCCTGGCTCCACCCCTGTGGGCCAGAGTACGTCCTTAATATTTTCAAGGATGAAGTCGTGGCCACTGGGGCCTGAGTTCTTAAAACTGCCAAGACTGTGATAGGAGCTAGGGCTGGAGTTCTTAATCCCCCCAAGAACGTGCGTAGTTTCAAATTTGTGGCCTTCACCAGGGCTAGGGCCTGAATTCTTGATGGATCCGTCTGTGAAGCTCTCACAGGATGGACTGGCAAAGCCACCCGACTTCAAAGTATTGAATGGTCGAGCATCTGTTGCAAAGAAGAATGTAGAGGTGGCCAAGAGGAGAAGAAGAAACAATTGTTGGAACACATGATCAATGGGAGCACTCTGGCCATGCCGTGTAGTGATTTATAGCTTAGACTTTAAAGTGCGTAGGCTTATACACTCTGGCTTATGATATTGGAAGTGGGTTGTATGGTTTCGTATTTATAGTCAAATAAATATGGAGTTATTTGACTACGGACCAAAGTTAATTGGCGGTTCAAACACATGTAGGAGTTGTGTCGTTATGGTTCAGTGCGTATCGTCATCTCTGATTCATGCAAGGATCCAGGAACCATCGAGGAGCTTCATATTTGCGCATTGCTCAAAGAGAAAACTCATTAAACAGAATTATACCAAAGACGAAAAGGAGAAATTGATCAGAATGCCTTGAGAGAAAAACCATTAAACCAGGGACCTCTTATTCCAAACAGAGGTATATCTTCTCGTGAAAGGACTCGACCTAAAGCAAAGACCATGCAAAACCAATTTGTCATTTGCCGTTTCTCTGTTCTCACTTTCAAAATTCAACGTTGCGATGATGGTATTTTGATTTTGAAGACTATAGACAAGTCTATGATCAAACTGAGACACACAAGGATTAGTTTGGCAGAAGCTTCCTTGCCAGCCATCTTGCTACCAACTCGATTGCAGGCTAGCATTCTGTTTTTTCATCTGTTGGTGTCAATTGAAATCATAGTTTTATAATGTTTGTATTTGTCGTAAGGCTGCAACCAACTTGACTACGAGGGGTCATAGTAGGGGTGAAAGTTGGGAACCCAACTTGAAGAATTTACACAGCATTAGGAGTCCGATCCATTTCAAATTTTAGCAACTGCTGAATCAGAGCCTGCTCAAGATCAGTGTTAGAAATACGAAAATAGTTGCACATGATGTTTTGAATTTATTTCTATTGTTCGTATTTCATGGGAGAGTTGCAAGGCAGTGGTGGTAGGGCTGCAAATGGATCGGATCCTCTCCGATCCTATTTTGTTGGATTTGGATATCCCTATGAGATTTTCAGATTGAATAATAGGATCCAATTGAAAATCAAATCACACCTATCCAATCTAATCATAGTATATATATTCCACATCCTTAATGGATTCAGATATATCCCAATTCGAATCGATGTGATCCAATCCGTTTGCATCCCTATGTGGTGGCAATATGCATGTACCAAATTGAGGGAGATTCAGGCACAGGGGCGGAACCAAATATATTAGTGGGGGACCTTGGCCCTCAAATTTTTTGTTAGAACCATTATTTATATCGTTATTAAGTGGTAGATTGGGTCAAAAACATAATAAAGTAGGTCTTTGGCTCTCCCAAAACTTGAACTAAAAAAAAAAATATTTATTTTTTCTTTAAAAAATCTGTCATAGACCCACTTGCCCTTATCTCTTATAATCCCAATAAAAATCTTGCACAACTGTGCATCCTTTGGCCAACCTAAAATGACTAGTCTTTGGGTTTTTCACATGCGTTCGTTTCCCACTCCACAGAGGGATCCATCAATTCAAATACACCTTTCACTGTAAGTTAGTAAACCTGAAATTGGGTGAATAAACTTACCGATGTGCTTTCTAACTCAAATTCTTGTTTCACTTAGGTTTCAAAACATCTTTACAAATAATCTTCCTTGAGGAATTGAAGGGGAATCGAAAATCTTTCATTTACATTTGGATTGAAGAGAAATTCCTTAAGGCTAGAGGTGTAAACCTATATTTACACCGAGGATTATTACACCGATGGGTTCATGAGAGTGTAAAATGGGAATCGGATGTTTGTCCCATTTAACGCTCTTCTCGTTTAGTAAATCATTGAGGTAAAAGTCCACTGCAACTGAGAGATTGTAGTCCTTGCCAGTCGGCCAAGAAACAGAGCACTGCGTACGGCGGTGAGCGGCGTATCAGACCTAGAAACTGGTGACCGGGTGTTGCAATAGGAGATGCTCTTGTTCGCATCTGTTGAAGCTCCATCCAAGAATATAATGGGAGCTTGCAATCGCACCAGTGGACAATCTTGAGTTCCGGTCGAGGTACAACTGTTGCTTCCTCTGGGTGGACGTGTGCTTGCCTGTGCTCCACTTGTTTGTGTCCAAGCGAGTGGACCGCATGGTTGAGGCTAGGTTGGTGGGCGATGTGAGGAGGTTCTTTGAACCGGAAGTTGACTATTCTCGGGGAATCAGGTGGGCCATCAGGGTGCCGGAAATGGATAGGTTCCTCCGAACAGAAGCTGCAGCACCGGCGGATGAAGAAACCCTGGCGATACTCCTCAAGGAGGCGATCGAGGAGATCAAGAACACCTGCACGTTAGCCCGTTGCCAGTTGCAGAAAATTTATCGGTTGAAGGAGCTGCTACGGGGGAAAATGCACTGCCTTGACGCCACCAAAGTGTTCTTGAAGCACGACAAGGAAGTAGAGGAGGCCTGAGAGAAGCTGGTGGTAGGGCCAGGCACCAACATCGTCAGGCATTTCTTCTACAAAGCCGAAGACCACGCTCCCACTGCCTCCGCCGCTGCGACAACCATCAAAGCGGCAGTCATGAGGAAGGCAACCACTGTTGTTCTCGTCGCCGCCTCTTTGTTTTTGTCGGAGGAAGATGATGAATAGATAACTATTGCTGTCGCTACCTCTCTGTTTTCATTGGCGGTGAACCTTGCCCCGGTAGATCGGTTCTTGCCCCAGCAACCATTGTTGTCACCGCCTCTATATTCTCTGTTCTCTGTTCTCATCGACGGTGAACCTTGCCCCGCCAAATCGTTTCTTGCTCCAGCAACCATTGATGTTGCCGCTTCTTTGTTCTCGTCGGAGGAAGAGAGAAGGAGATGAGAGAGAGAGAGAGAGCGAGCGAGAGAGAGAGGAGAAGAAGAAGAGAGGAGAAGAGAGAGAGAGAGCGAGCGAGCGAGCGATGTAATAAATATTCGATGTATTTATTACATCGATTATCGAAGTGATTTTCAATGTAAAATTACATGTTCACCAAATGCCTGTAAAATCGAACCGAGGTGCAAAGTTTACCCCGATTCGATTTTACACCTCTACCAAACGCAGCATAATTGGGCTGCAATCTGCAACCTAGGGCATTTGACGTTTAACACATCCGGTGCATTAATTTGAATTTAGAAAAAAAAAGGAAGCCCAACATTGACAATATAAAACCTTGCTATCCTAAGGTTCAGCTCTATTATTTAGGCCCTCTGTAGTTAACCAGTTACGCTTTGCGCTTTGTATCTGTGATTATAGTTCTTAACACTAGACAATTTCTGGACACTACAAGAAATATGACTTTTAGCTACGGGCAAAACCGTGGTTAAAGGTCAAAAAAACCGTAGCTATAGGCCTATAGCTATGGTTTAGCTACGGATAGAAAATTGTAGCCTATGTTTGTGTGGTTATAGCTTACGACTACGGTTCAATTAATTCGTGGCCATAACCCATCTATAGCTACAGTATATGTCTGTAGCTAAAAGGCAAACACAAATCATATGAATCTTTAGCCACAGACTGAATCATAGCTAAAAGATGTATATAGCTACGGTTTTTAAACTGCCCCTAGTTATATACCCAAATCTATAAGTACGGATTTTTATAAAACTGTAACTATAGTTCTTTTATTTATAACTACGGTTTGCTACAAAACCGTAGCTAAATGTACTAACCCATAACCACGATTTTTTTAACTAAAACCAAAGTTAAATACTCTAACCTATGGCTACGTTTTTTTGACACATTGTGGCTAAAAGATGCTATAAAAAAACTGTTGCTATATTCCAAATAAAATAGCAAAATAATGATAATTAGGACTGCCACCTTAAAGCAACACCTATTTTATTCATACATCACATAAAAATTATATAATAACTTCTAGCAAATACTTATATTATTGTAATAATTCAATACATGCCACATATAATTTGAATACATCCATTGTTCTACCCAAAAAATACACCCATTATTTAAAATGTATTACAAATGTCAAATTTCACTCGATACATATTAAAGTTTACATGAGTTAAAAAAATAGAGAAATTTTAAATATAAAAGAATCATCCATTGTCTTCAAGTTCAACTATGCTTTAAGAGTCACTCGTTGCATCTTTAACCTACAAAAAAAACAAAAAATATTAGAAAAATGATTACTTTGATGATCTAATTAAATATGCCACATAAAATGAAAAAATGTGAAGAAAGATAAGCAACAAAATCCTCTAGTATTTTGTTTAATGCAAGATAAATTTTGAAATTCTAATTAAATCAGCTTGGTGCGCTTGTTTGACAATTTTTTATAAGTACATTGTTGCAAATAACTCCCATGTATTTGAGATGGTGCTGCAAATAATTTTCTTAGATGCCTTACTTTTAGCTTGAGCCAGCAAATCAGTGGTTGCAAGCCCTCGAGAACCCTAGCTTGCTTGGATTATAAAAGATCAAATATTGGTTATTACACTAAAAAGGGAATTAATGTGTCAAGTAGAACCTGCCAAACAGGTTATATGTTTTAATGTTTCTCATGGAACAGCATTTATTGTAAATAAATTCCATCTTATTGTCAACAAATCAACAGAAGAAGAGATACCTTAAAACAAGATCCAATGGAGGAGAATTTAGAAGTTTTGCTTGTCTCCTCGGGAAGATGAGGGAATAGGCTTGCTATAAATGAACATTTGGAAGCACTCCAAATGCTCAACAACCACATAATATAAAAATAAAACAAGTATCAAAATGCATAAAATAGTTCTATATGAAGGGATGAGAGATCCATCGTATGGACGCCCAAATCTTGCGGAATAAAGGGGCGAATTTCAAAAAWWWTTCTYTCYCTTTCAAYTGGRAATCACATTCCCTATTTAGAAAATCATATTTTCAAGGATCAATCTTGAACCATAAACTGAACCAGATTTGAACCAAAAGGAGTAGGAGAGGATTATACCTGATACGAAGAAATAATATCTCCTAACGAAGGTGTTCATGCCCAAGGAAAGATCCAAAGACTTCTCCCACTGAAGATGGCGCAGTGTAGGATGAAGCAGAATCAGTAGTGTTCTTCTCCAAAAACTCTGTCCTTCGCAAGAAACAGCAGGATGGCACGTGAGCACAGCTTCCTATCAATTCTTTCTCAAAGAACTGATGTCAAGATCTGAAGGAGACGGCAACTGCAGGAAGGAGACGGCAAGAAAGTTCATTGCAGGGATTGCAGAAATCTTTCTTCTGTAATTTCAGCTCTGAAGAGAATCTGATTATGTGATTCCTCTAAAGGCTGCCGCCCCCTCCCTCTTTTATAAACCCAAAGGATCATTTCCTAATCCAATCAGAAGTTGCTAACCCAAATCATATTTTGATCAGACATCCCCTTAGGTGATAAGGATAAACCCTTATCCTGTAGTGGGCTAGGGAATGATATAACAACGGGCTAGGGAATTTTTTTCTTCCCATTCCTGGTAGTCCCTCCTACGGGCCTCAAAAGTCCTATCACCTGGACGCTCCAAGGTAGGATTCTTAGCTACTTTGTCCAGTTTTTCAGAGATTATGACCAACATAAGATTACGGTACCAGTCAGCATAGTTTGGGCCCTTTAGTTTGTTGTCGTCCAACAGTTTTGCGAATTGTCCGTTTGCCATTTCTGATAAAAAGCAAACATTAGTCCACAACCTAATTTGATTCATGTTATCTACATAGATATGGCTTTTAATCTATGTTCAATTTCCATTTATTCATCTTTGAGATTTTCCTCCTATCTCAGTGATGGAGACTGTGGATTATGTCTCTGGAAATGTGGGAAATCACTTAGGGTGAATGGAGCCAACTGTTTCAGCTGCATAACCCCACCATTGTGAAGGATCATATCCACTCATTGTATGAGCTTTCCCTTTGGCCTCTATTAGACAAGGTTCATTGCCATTTTAGATTAAACATTTCTGTCCAGTGAGTGCTCACCCATCATATTCGTGAACGCCAAAGTACCGTGAGAAAGTCTTCCATTTTAGGATAGACCCCTCCCACATCGGTCTATGACGCCCCTATCATCTTATGAAACATTCCAACAGATCCAACAGCAAATGGATAGCCCAATTTTATGGTGTGTTTCCTCATTATTGAATGACCCATCTTCATGCTAATGATGGAAGGCCTTTAGAGAGTTCATCATATGAATCTCCCTATCACATGCACTCATATTTCAGGAGGGAACAAAAGTAATACGCCCTAATTTAATTTAAGTCAAACCAAAGTGGCTCCCACTGACTTTCATAAAACCAGATTTCGGTGGGTCCTAAACGGATAGGGTTCCGCACGGTTCCTCTTGGGGAGGTGTGGGGCCCACCATGAAGGGAGATCATCCAATGATCTTTAGGGACACTATGGCAATGATGTGCATTCAGCCATGGTGTGCGCAAGAGYCACTATCGTATCAGCATGGGCCAAGTACTTATGGCCCATGAACGTTGCACATCACACATCCATACATCACATGTAGGGATAAAATTGATCAAATCAATTAATATCTGTAAAACCCATTATTAAAGCCCAATTATTATCTATAATATTACTAATTAATATTATCTAGGTATATGGGCTGAATAGCAAAGAGCTATTCGGCCCATATAGCTTTTCTGCAGTTAATGAGCTTAAGCAGTTTTAACACATTAAAACTAGGCTTTCCAGGTGTGGGTCGAATTATATCTTGCAATTAACTATCAATCCCCGATCATTCACTTTGTCCGACAAATGGACTGATCTTGTCACTATGTTCACCCACTCAAATGAATTCTTAGACTGTCCCAACATACCCAGGTTTTGACCCCTTTTAAGGATCTCACTGATTGGCATGTCAAAGATAGCCCAATCCGACACCTAGTGCAGTATCATAATCGAGTCTAGGGGTCAGGTGTAACATTCCAGTTTTTCCTATCAATCTCCAAGGTCTAGGGCAATACTGGAATTCTATTCCAGTTCAGGGTTTCAAGAAAACCCACACTGCATGTACTTCAAGTCTCACCCTGGTAGCTGAGACAAGCCACCCTAACCAACTTGGCGGCGCATCAGTGTCAACCTTGTCAGGATAAATCTCCCTAGATCTATTCAACGGCTGTGAACATTCTAAACTAATACGTCTCATATGTGTCTAGTTTAAGGGTATTACAAACACACCATAATAACATGAATCAAATTTGTACTTTATTCATTTACATTAAATGTCAAAAGATACATCATTCTCATTGGAGCTAAGGGCATACACTGTCTAACAGAATTATGGTACAGTAAGATTCCAAGTAATGTTAAAAACTCTTTTGTTATTTGACCCAATTTAAGAAATCCAAAGCTAACTGTGGAGAGGTCCAAAACTCTGAAAACCCCACTTACTGATGAATTTGTCAAATTTGAAATTATCTTAAGAATCCCCATCTCCTTTGTCTTAAAATTAACACAATTTGCATTAAAAACAATATCAGCGGTACATGAATGGGGAATCACTTCTCAATGCATGAAAGTTTCTAAATAAACAATAGGTTTTATGATGACCTAGTTCACCAATCGTCTTGAACATTAAATTGATGGTTGAAACAGCAAGTACATGAATAAGCAAATGCATAAGAGAAACCGAAATGGTTCTCATCAATACATTTTACTAGTTAAATAGAAAAGCTAGGATACATAGACCAGTGAAAAAAAAGAGTATGCTTGACATTTTAACATTAGAATTCAAATTTCACTGTTGTGCCCGAAAGAAATCTAAAGCTTAATAAAACAGATAAATATAATTTTAAGATGAAGAAACATGGAAAGAAGGGGATTTGTTCACATTGTTGGGTTTTTATTTTATCAACAAACAATTGTTAAACACAAAGAAGGGGTTTTGTCCACATTGCTAGGTTGATTTTATTCAATCTCAGTTCCTCCTCGCACGAGACTTCACTCACGTTGTCAAACTAAAGAAACGGCTAGGAAACCCTAACTACAATGGAACTAGATCTGAAGCATAAAAAGGGACCGAACAAATGAAACCAAAAAAAATAAGGAAAATATAGAGAAAAATAAAGGAAAGCTAACGAACTTGATGAAAAATAAGGAAGATAAGATGAGAGATCTTACTTTGACACACCAGCTTCCATCATAGCTTACACGATTTTGCTAAAGTGCTTCTACTACTTATACTCCACAATATTGACAGAGGAGAGAGAGAGAGAGAGTAGGGGTGGTAGAGATGGTCGATGATGTTAGAAAAAGAATGGTGTATGGAGTTCGGGGAGAAAAAGAGATGAGAGAAAGAGGAAGACAGAGGGAGATGGGATACAAAGCGTAGCGATGTATAGTTTGAGAGAGGGAAAATTGATTTGCTGTCAAAAAAAAGAGAGGGTTTCCTTTCGGCGCCTATATGTTGGTGGGAGTCCCGTGGGACGTCTTTGCTATAAACGAATACATCATTTAAGGTAGATAAAATAAATTATATTTAATTTTTAGTTTTTATTAAATTTTTTGAGAAAATTAAATCTTAATTTTCTGTTTTCCATTAATTTTGTTGGGAAAATTTATTTATTTATGTAGTATTTTTATATAATAACTATTTTTTCAAATAATAACTATGTTTTCAATTTTAACATATAATTATTTTTATAATTTTTAGTTTTTATTACTTTTTTTTAAATAAATCTTAAATTATTTATTTCAGTTTTCATAATACTATTTTTTAACTTGTATTAAAGATGAAAAACAATTCAAAAGTACTGAATGTACAGTTTTGACAAACTAGATACATATACACTTCTGTGTCGGTGTGTATCGAACCGTATCCACCGATACGGTGTGATACGGCCCGATACGGAAGTATATCGTATTGATACGTATGATTCATGGGATACATATCCAGTCATATCGTATCGATACGGAAGCATATTGTCAAACTATACAATTATTGCAAACTTTCAAAACCATAGATGTCAAGCACCCCAATTAGAGATTTGGAGTTAGAAAACCTAGCTTGATACCCTAACATGAACTCAAAGAAAAATACATACATAAATACATATTCATAGAAAAATATAAGCTTTGTATAAAGCATTTTGATACATTTCTATTGTTATATACTCACCATATTAAATAAAATAAATGTGAAAATAAGAATTACTTTTGTCAATGATGAAAATGGAATACATGATTTAAAATTAACCAAAAAAGCAAAATGGTGGATTAGTGGTTCAACTATTTATGTCAAATTGATTAACACATGATATTATTATTAAATAATAGAATACATAAAATTCTAGAAAATGTAGAAATTTTTTGATAATTTTGGGTACATTCTATAATATTATATATTCACCATATAATAGGTGTGATTAATGAGAATTATTTTCATTAAAGATAGAAATGGGATAAAAAATAAAGTGCATTAATTTTTTACACATGACTCCACTAACCATGTCAAATGGTTCAATAATTTAATTAGTTAGGTCGTCGTAGGCAAGTGGTTTGGTAGGGATGCAAACAGATCAAATCAGATTTGAATTAGTATATATTCAAATCTGATATGATCCAAAGATTCAATCGGATCTCATAAATATTGATCAAATCCAAATTCGATCAAGATATCGGATATACGAACCTGCTACGATATGATTTAATTTTTTTAAAAAATAATAAATTATTAGATGAAAAAGAAAATATAACAGTTAAAATTAAAATGAATATATATATATATATAACCCTAGTGGCAATAGAATTTAATCCTATATATTTGCTACTACGACTAGAAATCCTACCAACTAAGCCACCATCAAACCAATAATCAAATAAATCAAACTAAATTTGCGTATTTAGTTTGGTTCGATTTGGTTTTCATTTTAATAACCAAATTTGAGTACCCCTAGCTTTCAATGCTTGTGGCAGATGAAAAATGAAACACCAAATATGCCATGACCCATGCCTCTGGTTGTAGTGTGTTTGTTGTCTCTATGTCATTTTAGTGAATAAAGGTCAATGGGGATGGTTGGTCATCGGTGTTATAGATTGAACATTAGATTTTGGTCACTGTGACCTAAGTAAAATAATGTCGCAACACAAAAAGATTTCATTAAGAGGGGAGAAGAGAAGAAATCTGACTATTGGGTTGGGTTTGAATTGGTTCAAGACTAGTTGGAACTAGTTCCAAATCGATAATAATCAGGACAATATATCCAGTACTAGAGTCAACTCATCAGTTTCGATTCCTAGAACCATAACCAACTTAATCAGTTCATGAACATTGGGTTCGTCGGGTCAAGGCAGGTTTAAAGTATTAGGCTTATGCCCAACCCTAAAATCTAGGGATCTAATGAGGATCCGAGCCTCGACCAGGTTTTAAACACAAAATCTAGGTCCAATAGCAAAATTTTCCAACTCGCTAAAATGATCACCCTTGTTTTAAGGCAAAAATAGGAGGATAAGGTGCCTTCAATACTTTAAAACACATAGGTAGCAAAAAAGTTATCCAAAACCAATTCATTAGTTCTTGGGTTAGACCAGTTTGGTAGATGGTTTTGGCTTTTTTTCTTCTTGGAGTAAATAAGGTTATGTGTATGATCGAATTGGTTAACAGTTGGGTCATGGTTTAACAATAATCTGACTAGCTAGTCTCACCCAACTTTCTAAACATTGGTTAGTTATATGTTTTATTATATATAGAATATATAATGCTGTTTTGAAATATGTATGTATGTATGTATATAAATATATATATATATATATGTATAATTATTTATTTATTTTAGTTTTCATCTTTCACAAATAAAAAAGTTAAAAATTACACTGAGGCAAAAAAAAATGGTAAAGTGGTTGAAATGATTTAATAAATAATTCATTAGTTATTATTTAATTAATAATTATTTATCTATATTGTATAACTATTACTTCATTAATAATTTATTTATGAATTTAAATAATTTAGTTTAATTGTCAATATTATTTCCATTCATAGGTAATTAATTAATTTACTATTAGTGGTTTTCATATTTAGTTTATTATTTTCTATTAATTATTAATATACTTAAATAATTAAATTAATTTTTGATGATTAGTTTTAATTAATCAAATAATAATTGATACTTATTTATTTTTATTTTAGAAATTATTTTCATTTTATTAATGTACTCATGAAATTATTAATAATTTATTTATAGTTTAATCATTATTAAATAGAAATCATTAATTATTATTGTTATGCGATAGTAATGAGCTAATAATTTGTTAATTATTAATTATTAATTATATACATTTTCTTTAATAAATTCTTAATTATTAATTTACTATAAAAAGTAATTAATAAATAATAAATATTTTAAATGAATATTATATGATTATTATTTATGAACTAGGAATAAAATGATTACAGCTAAAGATGATTAACTTCGTAATTATAACAAAGAAATTATGGTTATCCGTGGCTATAGTGATAAATAGCTCTTTAGCCACGGATAGAATAACTTTTAACCACGGACAAATAGTCCGTAGCTAAAGCTCAATTTCTGCTTTTGTAACTTATAACCACGGATACGTTATAACCGTAGCTATAAATATTTTTTAGCCACGGACAGAATAACTTTTAACTACGGACAAACTGTCCGTAGCTAAAGCTCAACTTTTAACCACGGACTAATTATTCGTAGTTAAAGTTCAACTTCTGCTTTTAGCCACAAATACATTATAACCGTGGTTATAAATATCTTTTAGCCACGGTTGTTTTTGACCGTAGCTACAGTGCCGTAGCTATAGCCCCATCTTCCTGTAGTGTGAGCAATTGATTCAGAAGGAACGTTTTAAAAACTTGATTAAGAAGCAACCAAGATTTGAAACCTGGTCAGGTCAAAATTAATGGAGCAACGAGCAACCCAACCGTTGCACAGAGGCCCACCCTCGACAGACCTACTACTTGGGAAACATAGAACTCTTGGACGTACCCGAAGAGGTAGAGCTGAGGTCTGCTTTGCACTGAACGCATGCTTTTAATGTCAACAACTACTAGGATTTGTTTATTCCAGTTTGACCTCTTGAAAAAGAAAATAGAGTATCAGGGAGGAACTCACCAAACCCTTAGAAATAGCAGCCCTTGCATGTTATTGTTTAGTCTCCAAACGCACATGACAACATGGCACCACTTTGAAGTTTGAAAGGGTCCATCGCAGCCCAAAAAGGCAGTAACATCAAATTTGATTCATGCATTTGGACGTTAAAGAAAAATATTCTATGTTTCATGAACGATAACGAAAACTAAGATCGAGTAATTAACCTGAATCGATCTTCAGTTAGACAGAATAAGCACGCCCCATCACCATTTTCGATCTCTCTAGTAATTACAAAGAAGAAAAATAAAGCACTAAGTATTGAACAGCTGTGAAACTTAAAACTAATAAACTTGATGCTACATCATTACAAGATTCGAACCGAAGAGGATTATAGTACTGAAGCTTTCCACTACAAATAACAACAAATAATGAATGAATAATCACAAATTTTGTGAAACAGGATTGGGACGAGAGTCCTAATTAATTCCTTCAAGATTCTACGCATTTGCACCGCTAATGTCCAATACCAGGGCTTGGACCAGAATCCTTAACTCCTCCAAGAGTTTGAGCATCGCTGAAGCTGTGACCTGCACCAGGGCTTGGGCCAGAATCCTTAATTCCTCCAAGAGTTTGAGCATCGCTGACACTGTGACCTGCACCAGGGCTTGGACGAGAATCTTTAATTCCTCCAAGAATTTGAGCATTGGTGAAGCTGTGACCTGCACCAGGACTTGGACCGGAGTCCTTGATGCTTCCAAGGGTTTGAGAGTTGGTGAAACTGTGACCTACGCCAGGGCTAGGACCAGATACCTTAATTGTTCCTAGTGTTTGTGCATTGGTGAAGCTGTGACCTTCACCAGGGCTTGGGCCGGAGTCCTTGATATTTCCAAGGATGAACTCGTGACCAGTGCCAGGGCTGGGACCTGAGTTCTTAATGCTGCCAAGACCAAGAGTATGAGGGTTGGCGAACTTGTGGCCACCTCCAGGACTAGGACCGGAGTTCTTAATCCCTCCAAGAGCGTGACCATTTTCAAATTTGTTGCCTTCACCAGGGCTAGGGCCTGAACTCTTGATGGCTCCAACCGGAAATAGTCCATCTGTGAAGCCCTCACAGGATGGACTGGCAAAGCTACCCAACTTCAAAATGTTGAATGGCCGAGCGTCTGTTGCAAAGAAGAATGTAGAGCTCATGAACATAAAAAGATGAAATAATTGGAGGAATGTGAACAAGAGCAAACTAGCCATGCTGTATAGTAATTAGTAAAGGGTTCTCTTTAACGTGTGTAGGCTTGAAATGTATATATGTTGCCGTTGCTAGCAATCTAACTTGTATTGTATGATATCCGAAGTGGGTTTTAGTGTTTTCTATTTATAGTCCATAAATATGGTTTTATTTTGACTACGGACTTAAAAGGAAGTCGCCATTCAAAGACATGTGGGAATTGTGTGTTAATGGCCAAGTAGGTTTATCGTCATCTCTGATTCATGCGGGGAACCATCGAGGGAGCTTCATATTTGCATTACGAAAGTCCAACTTTGGAAGTCTTTTTTTTTTCTTTTTTGGGCAGATAAATGGAGAAGATGAAAGTTGCCTTGAGAGAAAGAAGTGAAGTAATCGAGTAAATGGCTAAACATTGATTTTTGAGTCACCATGCACGAGCACGACCGCCTGTGAAATCCGAACAAAGAACTTCTTATATATGGGAGGACTACTGAACCGGAAGCAAAGACCATGCAAACCCTTTTTTCTCTTTTGACTGGTTTTATATTCTCCATTAATTTCATAATTCAACGTTGTGATGAAGGTAGTTTTAAAAGAGTAGGGAATTTTACTAAAAATTAGTCTATAATCAAACTGAACAAGACACAGATTAGTTTGCCCGCAGATTTCCTTGTCAGCCCATTTGTTGTTTCTGTAAGTTAAGGTCATGGTTTTATGCTTTTAGTTGTCGGTATTGTATTCTGGATTCTGAAGCAAGACAAGACAAAATTGAATGAGAATCGCTTCGACTATGATATGGGAAAAACACCTGACCAATAAACTGAAATCACAAACGTGGTAGTGTTATTTATTAAAATTCATGGATGAGTTTTGATTGGTCAAAACTCTTCTTATATCATATCTTTTCTGTATCACAGATTTTTCCTTTATTTTATGTTTTTTTCCAAATTTCAGATTTATGTATATTTTTATATATATTATTTATTAAAAAAATTGGATTCCTAAAATGACCTATAAAGTATAAAGATACGATATGATACACTCAAAACGGGACATATCGTATGGATAATTTGACCTTGGTTGGGTCAGGATCAGGATAGTGTGAACCATTCTCAAACTGGTTATTAGCTGATTCTATAAATAGGTCCAAATAAAACTGAACCAATTATTAATTGAGATAATTGAGGCTGAAAGTGAGTTGGATTTGGTTAGATTTGAATTAAAATTGATCCTGTAAGAGCCAGATTATGATCCCTTTGATTTAAACAAATTGAATTGAATCGGGATATCTGATCCATTTGGTTAACAGATATACCCCTAATTCAATCCAATAAGATCCAATCCGATCTAATGTGTATAATATTTAATATTTATTACACATATATGTATATTATTCGTCTATATTAGTAAATTATCTGACAAGGGTAAAAAAAACTCTTCTTCCCCATTTCAATTCACTCAGTCTAGACTCTTCTTTCGATATCATCTATAAGGGTGCTCACCGTTTGGTTAACTAAATCATGGGCTAATTTTTAAAACTGAACTGCGGTTATCGGTTTTTGGAAAACAGGTAATCGAAACCGAACTAAAGTCAATCGATTAACCAGTTGATCGGTTCGGTTAATCATCGGTTTTTTATTATTTACAAAAAAAAATATTATAGAAAAATATATAAATATATAATGAAATACTAGAAATATATATATATATATATAATATTATATTTTAAATAATAAATAATATATTATATATTGTAAATATATATATTTATATATATATATATAATGCATATTTATTAATTTATAATGTATAGAAAATATAATATATATATACATAAAATATATATAAATATATGTATACCGGTCGATTCGGTTAACTACTGCTTTTTATTTTGGTTAACTGAAACCAAATTGATGCCTTAGGTTTTTTAAAATACTGAACCGGCCGATTTGTTTAACGGAATTTTTGGTTAGGTTTCGATTGATTTTTTTGATCCGTTCGATTTTTCAGTTTTTTTCTCACCCCTAATCATCTATTCTCATCTCAATGACCCAAAACCCAAAACCTAAAACCCTCACTCCAGTCTACTTGTCTTCTTTTAATTTGATCTTACACATTTCATCTCATCTCACTTTCAATTCCCATCTCCTCCGTAATTTCTCATCATCGAACCCGCTACTGCCATGTAACCTCGAAGAATGAAGACGAAATTGAGGAAAAAAAGTTGTGAGCAACATGCATCGGGCTCCAATACTCCATGATTAATTCCGACTCAGACATTTGTTTATATCATTTTCCTCTCTCTCTCTCTCCACAAGCCAGGCAAGAACCCTAACTCCTATTTTCATTTTAAGCACATTAGAAATTGGTGTTGAATGCCGCACCAGTGGTCGAAACCCAAGTAAGTTCTTCATTTTGAACTTTGAAGCCCCATGGGATGATGGAAGCTGGATTGAGTTCCCTCTTAAGAAATAAATTTTACCTTATCCAGTTCAATATATTGACGCACGGTATTTATTATCTGAGCTCCATCTAAATCTAATATGAATTTAACGGAAAATATTTGATTCAAATCCCAAATAAGAAAATTGATGAAGGGTGATTTGGCCCGACCTCGTAATAGGGGGACACGTGGACATGACTCGACATAAGTGACAACTCGGCACGACAACCTGGCCGTAACTCAGCGTGATGAGCTCGCTGGAGCCTAGCCTGACAGCTTGGCACGGGCAGCAACTCGCTACAAGGTGGTATTTAGGTTACCCCAAGCTCTCTCCCAAAAGGGGAGCGCCCCGAGGTCCCTCCAAGTGAGCCCCGAGCTCCTCCCAAGTAAGGAGCCCCCGAGCTCCTCCTCAAGAAGGGAACACCCCGATCTAAGATCCCTGGGTAAGGAACATCCCAAACTGAAGGCACTTCGGGTAAGCTCGCCAGTAGGCTCCTACCCAAACCTAAGTAGCCGCCTCAAAGAATTACTTGTTCGGGTAGAAGCACCTCGACATGTCAGTAGTAGCTCGGTACCAGGTAACTCAGTGTATCGCCTGACAACCGTACCTGCCAGATCTGGAGACTGCACCCACGTCTCTGGCTAGGCGGCATCGTGCCTGCCAGGCTCTGACAAGCGTCCCTTGCCTGACAGGGCCGTACCCTGTAACGGTTACCTGCGCCCACCAGCTCAGCTCTGGCAGTAAAGGTTGCAGCAGAGAATCAGAGGCGGTTATGCCAGATTTGACAGGGCATCCGTATAAAAAGGCCCCGACCCCCAAGGAACAAAGGTAATTGCATTTGCGCTATCTGCACACTAGCTTTCTTCATCTTCTCTGCAATTTTCTCTCTCAAAGTTCTAACTTAAGCATCAGAGTGTTCTCGTCGGGTGAGCTCCCTGGGAATCCTTCGTCCTCTTCTTCTTCTCAGGTACCATTCGTCGCCAACTTGGAGTGTGGACCCTTGCCAGCTAGGAGTGCTCAGATTGTGCACCATCAAAAATATTAACAAATCTAATTTGAATTAAAATGATTGTCTCCATGTGGAGCATATATATACACGAGTGGAGGGACATGATCAGAGAAAATATGTCCATCCAAATCCAATTACCAAATTAAATTTGAGAAAATATTTATTTATATATTGTAATTACATGGTTTGAATCCATTACAAACAATCTAGATCCAGTCCATGTCCAATGGAAAAATAATCCAATCCAATCCGTTTTAATGCAAATGGATTGTGATGGAGGGTGATTTGACCCGACCTCCTAAGAAGGCGGCACGTGGACATGACTCGATATAAGTAACAGCTCAACGTGATATCCTGGCTACAACAGAGTAACGAGCTCGTTAAAGTCCTCGCAGGTCAGCTCGCTACATTACAGCTCACCACGGAATGAGCTCGCTACAGCGCGAGCTTAAGGACCCCAGTATGCTGAAAGGGAACACTCCAAGCTAAGTCTATCCCAGCTTGCAAGCTGAGATAATCAACTCGCTCCAATACTTAGGCAAGAGGACTGCCTCAAAGGAAACCTCAACCAGAATCACCTCAGAATACCTCTAGGAGCTCGCTACAAGGCAGCTCGCTATGGGATAGCTCGCTACAAGGCAGCTCACTATTGAGCGACGTGGCGTTTTCAGGAAGCTTTTTATCTAACAAGACCGTACCCGTCAGACTGCACCACGTCTCCTGACTGACGGCACAGTCCCTGCCAGCCCAGCGGACTGCACCCACGTCTCTCGACAAGTGGCGGTGTGCCTATCCTTTCCGGGTCGTGTCTCTCATTTGATTGGGCAGTACTCTGCAACGGTTACCTGCTTAGCCCTGGCAAATAACGGTTACGCCCGATTTGACAAGAAATCTGTATTTAAAGGCCCCGGTTTCCAAGAGGTGGAGGTAATTGAACTGATCTAGCGTTACTTGCACTCTTAGCTCTCTTTGCATTTCTTACAACTCTCTTAAAGTTCTAACTTAAGTATCGGAGTATTCCCATTGGGCGGGCTCCCCGGGAATCCTTCACCTTCCTCTTCTTAGGTACCGTCCGTCGCCAGGTAGGAGCCAAGCGTCCGCCAGCTAGTAGCGCCCGAATCGCGCTGCATCATTTGGCGCCGTCTGTGGGAACGCTTCAAAAGGCCTTCCTCTAATCTCTGCAACTTTCTCTAAGAACTCAGCATTCATGGCTTCCTCTAGCAATGCCAGATGTGGTGCTGACCAGAACGCTTATGGGGAGCGACCTCAGCTCCCCACTGTCTGAATTGGACAGTTCACCGTCCCCCTCTCTATGGACGGAGTTCCCAACCTGAATGTGCCTCAAACAGCGGCACCTATGAACGCTCCGCTCCCTTCCACGGTTGGAACAACCTTCACTGAACCTTCTGTTGTTCCCCCAGTGATCATCCAAAACCAGCTTGAAGACCTGGTGTAGTGCATGCGAGCTATGCAAGCTCAAATGCAACAGTTCCAGCAGTTTCAACTCTATCAGCAGCAAATGCTGCATCAAGTTTCTCAATACCAGTATCAACAACAGTTCCCTTCACTGCCTCAGGCCCAACAGCCACTTCACCCTCGACATTCGGCCACGAAGCAAGCCAAGCCCTCCTATCGAAG